TAGTCCAAAAAGTGCTATTTTCCTTGCTCCATCTGAATACAACTCCTATAGTACCAACAAAATTAATGAATTATCAACCATTTTTAGTATCTACGACATTTAAGAGTGTGTTCCGTACGAAGAAAAATATTTTTTCGCGAACCTTTAATTGTTGGGAGTACTGTTGAATGAGAAGTGTTGCGTACTGAGTTGGTGAGTACAAATGACTTGATTGGTATACATCTGGCATTAGAAAATTATTGATGTAGTCATTGCTGCCTATTCCAACAATGAAAAGGCACTTATTTAAGTGATTTTTGGCTAAAGTTGTATTCCCCAGCAAATCAGCAATACGAGAAATTGTGACTTTATGATTCTCCAATTGTTTGCCCAAGTAAATTCGATAACCCTGAAAATTAATTAAATTTTTCTGTAAGTATCAAACAATTTTATTTTTATTCTAATATAGTAGTAGCTGATATAAAATAGACTAGCAAATCGTACGACTAATTAATTAATTATTTAACTAGACTTATAGGAGGGGTGTCAATTGTCATGATCTAATTTTGTACTACTAATTAAACTATAGGATAAAGAAAGTTTTATAATACTATATTCTAATTTTTGAACCATGTTTCCTTTATTAAATGCACGACAGATGAATGATTAATTAACTAATCATAGTTTTAAGTTTTGAGAAATGATATGAAAAATAAGTAATTAATGTTAAAGAAAAACATGAAGAAATTTTGTTTTCTTTGTATGGTAAACGTGATAAGTGAAAATGAAAATATACTTTTTTGTATAGTGAACTATGTAAAAGTGAATGAAGAAATACTTGTCATTCATGACTTTTTAGCTCCAATAATGCAATACATAAAGTACTTTGACGTGATTAAGCACTTTGTTTTACACAAATTAAATCAATATTATATGGAGAAAAGTCTATAGTAACAAGTGTCCTTGAGTAATTAATTGGTTTATAATGTTAGATATCATATTAATGCTTCTCCACGATCAATAATAATAAAAAATTATATATGCAACTCACAAATATTTCAAATGCGGATTTAAGATTTTAACTGTGTTTGGTTTTTTTAAACTTACAATTCATTGGATTCTGGGTTACGAACAAATTATTTATACGTGCTGCTATTTATTGTGTTTTTACGATAAACGTAAGAGTCGATGCTACTGAACTTCTCATTATACTAAAAATAAATGCCCTGTAAAAATCGTACTATACTTACAAGATGACTTCCCGTATCGTTGCGAATTCCAGCTGAACCAGATGCATAATTCACACCTTCCAAGATCTCATCACCCGTTGCGCTTGCAAAAGATGGTATGTAGTGATCAAAATCAAGGTGTTCAGCTATTTAACAAAATGAAAAACATAAGTTAATGAATATCACAAGTAAAAAAACATATGCTAAACAAGACAAATAACAAAATTATGCTACACATATTTAATTTAACATAGTATCAGAACAGACAAAGATCGATCTTCAACCTCACCATGCATTACCACCCATGATCAAAAAGATTTTGCACATCATGAAAAGATAATCAAGCAGCTCACGTATGTAAAGAGGCGATAATAAATAATATTTTCGTTCATAACCTAAACTTATATCAAATGACATTATCACACGCATCAATAAAAAAAAACGTAAATCATAAAGTCTTAAAGAGAAAGTGAGAAAGAGAGACCTAGGAAGTCAGCTATATTCCGGCCATTGGTGAATCGGCCAGTGGGACCATCTGGGAAATCAACTCCATAAGGTGGATAATTAGCCCTTGCCGCGGTGTCAAGGTCATTATTATTGCCATTATCAAGTAACGAGTCCCCAAAAATGAAATAGCAAGGTACTTCTGGTGCACCTTCAACTAAGTTCAAGACTAAATATAACACAATACTTAATATAATTGTAACATAGCACGCCATTGAGAGAATTAAGTTGAAGAAGACGATGAAAAATATAATTGAGAAATTATTACTCAATTATAATGGTGTTGAATATTATGGTGAAGGTTGCATTAAAATATATAGGGAGAGGCTTTTATTGTTGAATATTTAATTTCATCATTATTTGTGCTGTGATTTGTGGGGTAGCATATGGGGCAATTGACAAGATTTTGTTTGATACTATATTTTTATTTTTATTGAAAAAAGGCGATCATGACGACTGGGAGAATTTTGTATTGTATATACAGGCCGACAAATTTTTTTGTGATTACTGGCTTTGTGTTACCAATGTTACCAATATAAAAATCATAAAAATTTAAATGTTTCTGTCTAGATTCATATTCTTTTAGTTATTCTAGGTGCATATATTATCCGATATATATATATTTTTTCTATTCTAGATGTAAAAATATTTCATAGGTGTGACCGTGTGAGTCTAGAGTGAATATATGTTAAGTTGTTTTTGACAAGAGTAAAGTTTCAATATTATATTAAGAAGCGAGCTTAACGGAGAAAATTTCAAAAATACCGATATTATATTAATTATTAAATATAGTGATAGTTTGTTTAACTATGATGTATAGCTATTATTTTGAAATTATATCTGATATATATATATATATATATATACACACGTGCAATCTGTATCGGTTGGATACGACCGTTTTTGCTTTACTAAATTTAGTAGTAGTATCAATATATAAAACTACCTAGATTGAATAGTGTACTAAACAAACAAACAAAAGAAGATCTGCTAAGACACAAAATAAAATATTTTTTAATTCGTCTGTTTGAATAATTTCACTAAAAATGGAATAAGATCTGCAGCTATTAAAAGAAAAAAAAGGTTCTTAATCATCTGTGTGATAATTAATTTTTCTAGAATCTATCTGGTCTTCTTTAAGCATTAAGCACTAGTACTACAAGCTAATTAATAAGTGGGGTACTTTTATGGGTATTGATTAATGGGGCTGCTATAATGATTGAGGCTAATTAAGTGGCCGATTTTTTAAATACAAAACTTTTTCACGTGAAAAATGATATATTCTTCTACTAGATAGATGGCAACTTCATGGCATTAAGAAAATAATATACTCTACTTTCTTTATCTCAATTTATTGTGACAACACTTTTTCTTTTAGTCCTTTAGTTCGTTTTCAAAAAATATCATTTTAAAATAAATTTTAAAAAATTAACTTCAAATTTTATCTTTTATCCTTAATTAAAAACTTTATAGTTTTTACATAAATAGTCAAGCAAAAATTTATAACATAAATTTTAAAAGCTTTTTTTTTCTTTATCTTTATGGCAAATATCAAACTATGTTATGAAATTGTAACTTAGGAGTATATGACAAATGTAACTTCTTTGTTAGTTCGGATACTTTATTTCATGTAAAGGGTGTTGAATACTTTGGCCTTTCATTTTAGGAAGATTGAATTTTGACTTAAAAAGTTAGCAACTTTTTAAAATTATCGATATATTTTGCTTAAACACCTTACATGCCACCTATTACAACGTGGAATCCAACCTCATTATTGAAGTCAACAAATACTGCAAAACAAACCAAAGATTACATTTTAAGAAAAAATCCAAATCTCACCAAAGAAATCTGCAAAACATTGTTTTTTGATGATGTGTGATGACATCAATTAAAACAAATTTCTCTTATAAAAAAGCTCATCAGTTCATTTTGTTAAATACATCACATAGAAAGAAAAAATATAGGAGGCAGTGAGGTATTTTTCTTTTTAAATGAAATGCAGTGGCGTATAAGGAAATAGTCTGCGAAGAAAATTAGAATGTGAGTGATATTTTTAATAAAGTGAAAAAAATCAAAAGAGGGTTATTTTTTTTTTAGTATGCAGTAGTCACTTTAAGTATTACTCTTGAGATTACACAATATAAAATTTCTTATTATAGTAATATCACTTGCTTCGCTTGGTCTGTTATTTTTTCCCTTATTTAAAAGGATTTCTACGTAAAAAATCTGATGTTATCATTTTTCTATTTTATTCTCAGACCGTATATATTTTTGTGTTAATCCACATTTTTTCAAACATAAACACCACTTGATAGGTAGGGGTCAACTGTAAAATCTCACACACCAAAAAGGCTCTATACCTTGGTGGCTCACTCGACAGTCGACTCTATGGCTAAAGAGAGAGACAGGATGAAATGACCAAAAAGGGCCTACTTTTAATGTGTTGTAAAGATAAAAGGTAGGGCATTTTAGGAAATTAAAATATGTGGAGATTGCTATCCTACTAACTTCATGTACTAATCCTGGGAAAGCAGTAGGTTAGCAAGATACAAAAGGGTATCATTTGATTGGTGGAATAAAAATAATAATCTTATGAGATTATTTTATTGTATGTTTGGTAATTAGTAGTATTATTTAGTTTCAATATTTTTTATCCCGCCATTTCAGTACAAATCATAAAGAAGATAGAATAAAATAATCTCATGAGATATCGTTATCTATCTCATCTCACTGCGACGAAGTTCAAATAATCCCATAATACATGATCAAATTGGGAGGGTACTTAGAACTAATAATGGAATGGTTCTCTTCATTGCTACACAAGAAATACAGAGTATAGCATGACATGAAATAGTATAAGAAAAGGAAAAATGCTTTAGTGATTGTTATGCACAAAACTGGAGAAAAAGTTTAAATCATATAACAAATATGGAACAACATCAAGAAAAAGAAAAGTGTACACAAGCTATTAGTAGTCTGCACAATATTAGCAACTACTTGGAAGTACCTGATGTCATGTCATTATGTAGTTCAATAACAGGAAGAAAGCCTCTGTTTGATCTTTGCCAATGCTGCTACAACATCAGTCATGCTCATCCTTTCAACCGGAATATATATTAGACGTGCAATACATCGCTAACTCCATGATAGATGACACGCATTGCAGCTTTTGACTTGAGTTTTGTTCATCTACTGTTAGTAAGTCAGCATCTATGATTTGATCCAGCTCATTAGGAAGCGAATTATGCACGAAGCATCTCAATTCATATCTCAAGTTAAATAAAGGATTCAACTGGAGCAATGTAACAAAATTGTAGCGAAGATTGTAGTGTGAGCAATAGATTCTTCCTTTCTTAGAAGTTTGGCAATGCCAAAGTCAGTAAGGTGTCCCATCATGTCGTTGTCAAATAACACGTTGCTAGGCTTAAGATCACAGCAAATAACCGGAACTGAGTAACCATGATGGAGAAATTCCAAAGCAGATGCAACGTCGAACACGATATTCAATTTCTGCATTATAGTTAAACAGTAATCTCGAGAATATAGCAACTTGTTTAAGCTCTTGTTTGGCATGTACTCAAGTAGCAATGCTTTAAAATCCAAGTTACAACAGCTGCTAATGATTTTGGTGAGACTTCTGTGACGAAGATTTCTAAAGATTTCACATTCTCTGTCGAAGGTTTGAAATGTGCCTTCCATCTGCACATTGAAAACTTTGACAGCTACAGTCATCCCATCTGCTAATGTCCCTTTGTAAACAAAACCATCCACTACCTAGCAAATTGTTTACATCAAAGCCCTGAGTTGCTCTTTGAAGTTCATAGTAAGAAATTCTTTGTGGTGCTACCTCAGGTGACCACTCCTCTTCAGCATTGATTGTTTTACCTCGGCATCTCATCAACACGAAAACTATCACAGAGGCAGTCCCTATCACAGAGATAACAGAAGAGGCAACTATAATCCATATCAGTCTTCTTTTCTTGGACTTAAGACTGATTCTTCGAATTAGAAGGACAAGCCGGGACATGCTTTTGAGGGTTACCACACAATCCTTCATTCGATATAAAAGATTGGTAAGAGAGATTAATATAAGGTCCTCCAATCGGAATTTCCCCGTGTAACCTGTTGAATGAGACATTAAGGAAGTCTAGCTTCTTATGTGCCTCTAATGACTTTGGAATCACACCAGACATATTGTTATGAGTTCCCCAAATGTCTCAGGAATAGATCCTTGAATACTGTTATGAGCCAGAGATAGTTGAATCAATTTTTGTAGAAGAACCACTTATTCTGTTTCTACCAAGTGAAGGCCTTTGAAGATTTTTCAAAGAAATTATCGTTGTCGGGACAGTTCCAGTAAAGTCATTATTATCCAGAACCAAAGTAGATAAATTTCCAAATTAAAACTCCGTAGAAAAATGGAAAACACATACCTTGTAAGTTGTTTTCTGATAGATGTAATTCTTCCAGCAGCTGTAAGTTACCTAGTTCTCAAAGTTATTTTGTTTCAACCATAGGAGTTGGAAGTTCCGAGCATTTAGATATAGTTCTTGGTATCCGTCCACTTAACACATTGGAGTCAAGTCCAAGAGCTTGCAATCTGGGAACGTGATGACATAAATCAGAAGGGATATCACCAGTTAAACCAGCATTTCCAAGATCCAAATATTCTAGTGTTGAGATGCTCAATATGGAAAGCACGTTGGAGCCATTAAGTGATTCATCGAATCCAAAACTCAACCGTTTCAAACGCGGAGGAGTAGCTAGTCCTATTGGAATTTCTCCAGTGAAGTTGTTGTAACTAAGATCAACCTCTCCCAATCTTCGTAAATGAGAAAATTCTGATGGAAGTTCACCATGGAAATTGTTGAGGCTTAGATCAATCGACACAAGAAAGGAAAGATCACCAAAAGCATGCTCCAAATATTCACCAGTATAACAGAAACATGCTGTGTGTTGACTTGTTTCATTATGATATTTGGGGGATATTCTTCTTCTTATGTGGACTACTTGATATTTGAAAGAGAATCATCATGTCATATTCTATATCAAATGACTTTGTCAATGATTAAAAGAATAAAAGGCTTCTTCACAGTCAAAACTCTCAAAACTCTACTGAAGTTGAAATTTTCGGATGTTTCCAGAATTGAACAACCCTAAAATGACATATGCAGTCAATATAAAAGGCAATCAAAAACATGTCATGAGCAGTTATAGCAAACATTATTGTACACAAGCAGAAGCCAAGTAAATGTTATAATTTTGAACAGATCTTAGGATAAAAGGACATTTTGAAAGAATAAGAAGTGGATATGCTGACAAGAGAAAAACTCTACACAATGGGAATATGTATGTGCAAGCACACCTACAAGAAAGAGGGTGAGAGAGTATGTGAGACAGAGAACCATAACTATTACCTACAAGAGAGAGAGAGTGTAAGACAGAGAACCACAACTATTACAGGTTTTATATGGTTCATATTTATGAAGGATCTGACTTCTGAAAGACAATTAACCCTCCTCCTCTTTCCGGGCTCGGGACCGGCTGCGAAATAGAAGAATCCAAACACAGGCGGAGTTAAAAACAATGTTTTTCTTTCTCTAGGTGGGATCAGCATGACCTGCCATCACTTTTGATCATAGACAAGTCACCTTACCACTAAGTCACACTAAATCACCTTGAAGAGTTGAATTAAAGATTGACGAATTTGAAACAAGCCTTCATATTTTGGTTTGCAAAGACGAACTGAATCAGTGATAGCTCCTTCAAAACTTTTCAGAATCTCAGATATTCCAAAGAAGGGCACTGCTTCAGACCTAATCAACTGAAATGTAGCTAGTTTTCTATCTTCGGAATGTGTGAGGGGCAAAAGAGGATCAAGTCCAATAAAAGAGCACTGCTCAAGTATAAAATATGACATGAATTAGGTATCACTAGGGTGACAAAATGCGCAATTAATATGGGTATCCGCTCATATTTACCCATTTTAAATGGGTTGGGTATTCAACCCATTTAAAAATGGGTAAAAACGAATAATACCCATATTATCCATTTAAATGTAGGTAGTTAAATGGATAAAATGAATAAAAGATATGCATTCACACAAACAAAAAAAAAGAAGTGATAAAGGGTGGGATAGTAAAAAAGTCTTTTTTTTTAAAAAAAAATATAACTTTTTTTTACATTTTTTTTGGGAGGGGGTGGGAGGGTTGGTAGGGGAGTGGGTTGGTAAATTTTTTACCCATTTAAAATGTGAGTCGAGTCGAATAACTTATCCATTTTTATTTAACTCGTTTTTGTATCATCTCATATTCGACTCGACTCGCTCATTTGCCACTCCTAAGTATCGCCTACCCCAGCTGCAATTGAAGAATGGATATTTTGAAAAAGTCTTTCAAAGACCTCCGTCATCGACCTTCAGTAGAAACCAAGTTGTTGGTAGTAGAAATATGGTGCTGAAGTAATTAGAGATACCAGTGAGAATATAACTGGCTCACCCACTAGCACCTGGGAACTGCAATCTATGGGTGAAGAAACATACATGGTGTATTTTCCTAGTTTAGCCCTTTAGCAATGCATGTAAGAAAGTTGCCTTATTCGTTTTTTGTTAGACCGTAGTCTCATGCAGATGGCTGTTTCAGCATGCATCCCTTTCGGACCAAAACAAGGACTCACCCTATTTCAGTCTAGTGAGGGTCCAAAAGACTAACTCACGTACACCCATTCTCAGCAATGGCGAGAAGAGCCTTCACCTGCCCTTTTTATTGCTTTCATTGTCCCTTGCCAATTGATTGATCCATATTATCAACTAGATATCCCATACAAGGCACCCAACTTCCAATCTAAAACAAAAGCTTTCTTCAGACTGTAGCGGGCATATAAAGCAGGGCAGATTCCACTTCACCCATGTCAACAAATATGACAATCGCAGCACTTAACCATCACATAGACTTGGGGTTCAAAAGGTGCAGAGTGTGTGCAATTAACCGCCAATAGATAACCAGCATACACAAAAAATGTTGCTCAGGCCTGAAGACACTGCACTTGCATAGAATTTGTACTGAGATTTAAAAAATTAAAACAGAAGATGGCATTAGAAAAGAAAAGATTCATCTTTTTTACAACGTTGGCTTTTAAAAAAAGACTTGCCACAGTGTCTCCCATTAATTCAATCATTCAAGATAGACCTATGTGACTTATCTTTCAACCTAGACGAAAGCTTAAAACAAATTGTGTCATATCTCTCACATTATAATTCTAGCCACAGCACAATCACACTCTCAAACTAACTCTTCAAGTTTCAAGTCTAAAAAGTAGATCCTTCTAAGACCATACAAAAACAGCCTCTAGTTTAATCAAACATAGTCACATTACAGTCCATCTCCACTAAACACAAAATAAGTTGTGCCATCTCTAACATTTATGATTCTAGCCACCACACAATTACACCTAAGAGTACGCCATATCTCTCACATTCTCATTCTAGCCACCGCAAAATCACACTATCAAACTGACTCTTCAAGTTTCAAGCTTAAGAAATGGATCCTTCTAAGCCCATACAAAAACAGCCTCTTGTAAAATCAAACATAGTCCTATTACAGTCCATCACCACTAAACACAAAATAAGTTGCGTCATCTCTCACATTTATCATTCTAGCCACCACACAGTTACACCCATCTAGCCGACTCTTCAAGTTTCAAGAAAACTATCAATATCTCTCTAGAATCCCAAGAGTACTTCATATCTCTCACATTATCATTCTAGCCACCACATAATCACCCTATCAAGATGACTCTTCAAGTTTGAAGCCTAAGAAGTGCATCCTTCTAACACCATACAAAAACAGCCCTCTTCAAGTTTCAAACCTAAGAAATGGATGTTCTAAGCCCACATAAAAACAGCCTCTAGTAAAATCAAACTTAGTCACATTACAGTCCATCACCACTAAACACAAAATAAATTGCGTCATCTCTCACATTTATCATTCTAGCCACCACACAGTTACACCCATCAAACTGACTCTTCAAGTTTCAAGAAAACTATCAATCTCTCTCTAGAATCCTAAGAGTATGTCATATCTCTCACATTCTCATTCTAGCCACCGCTAAATCACACTATCAAACTGACTCTTCAAGTTTCAAGCCTAAGAAGTGGTCCTTCTAACACCATGCAAAAACAGCCTCTACACCAGAGCTTAGAACCTTTACTTCTTTTTCTTTCTTTTTTTTATGGAAGGAGCAATTTCCTTTTAACGAACATGAAAGAACAGAGACGAAGGAATTAGACACCACATAATGAACTAGAAAACACGACAAACTGGAAACCATACAAAATACTAAATAAATGGATTATTCATCCAAATTTCAGTTTGAAACCCATGTGATTAACCTATTTTTCATTTGGTTAATCCTAAAACTACAGAAAGAAAACTAGAAACTTAACATGCAACAGCTATGGAAAGAACTTTCTATTGGACAACTTTTTTTAGGGAAAGAACTTGAAAGCACGCAAATAAGAAACTAGAAACCACACAAAGAAAAAAGTGCAGACCACAACAAGAACATACTAGAAAATAAACATGCAACATATGTGGAAAGAACACCATTTTTTTTGTTTTTTTAATAGAAAGAACATGAAAGCACACAAACAAGAAATCATGACACGAAAAGAACAAATACAGACTACTACGGACTTATATCACAAGATCATAGACAATATACTACGGACAATTATATAACAATGACGAAATCCTGAAACGAAAATAAAAAAAGACAGACAACTAAAGACTTATATCACAAAATCATAAAATGAAAAGAACAAAGACAGACTACTATAGACTTATATGATCATACACAATATACTACACTAGTAAAGATTAGTAAAAATATCAAGCTAAGTCTTTACTTTAGAAAGAAAACTGTGTATAAGAGACCTGCAAGGCTCTGGCTGTACCTCAACCGCCATCGGCACCGGTGGGACTGGTGGCGGTATCAACAGTCCTGATTCAAGCTAAAATCTCGATAATCTGGGTTGGATTTTTGTTCTGCGCCAGGGGTGGCTCAATGCCTTTAAAGATGAGGCATATGCCTTAGGCCCAAAATCGAAGGGCCTAATTTTTTTAGTAATAATAAAATTATCTTAAGCTTTTTGTAACAAAAAAAAAGAATGTTTTAATTTGTTTCAAAACATTAAAGAATGTTTCTTTTTTATGGATCAATTTTTAAATTTAACTTCCACATTATATGTTTAAGACCACACAATTAAAAAATATTTTGGTATATATATATCTTTAGTTTAAGATCATAAAAAAACAAAACTTTTTTTATTAAAAAGAACTTGAATCTCAGATAAAAAATAATAATTAAAATTTAGGCCTCAAACTTATTTTTGGCTTTAGGCCACTAATTAGCTTGAGCCGCCACTGTTCTGCGCCACGTCCAAAGCTATTTTTTATGAATTGCTCGCCTTAGAACCATATTATGAAATTTCTTGCACGCCTCTTCGCCAAAAAACACAACTTGAATTTCTGAAGTATCTTTTTTTTCTGGAACCAGTCCATTGTCGTTAAAGAAAAATAAGAAACCCCAAATTCAGCTCAAGATTATAGTAATTAAATCCTCTGTGTGGAAAGAACACCATTTTTTTTTGTTTTTTTAAGAAATCATGACACGAGAAGAACAAAGACAGACTACTACGGACTTATACTACGGACAATTATATAACAATACAATTATATAACAATGACGAAATCCTGAAACGAAAATAAAGACAGACAACTAAAGACTTATATCACAAAATCCTAAAACGAAAAGAACAAAGACAGACTACTATAGACTTATATCACAAGATCATCGACAATAAACTACGTATACTAGTAAAGATTAGTAAAAATATCAAGCTGAGTCTTTACTTTAGAAAGGAACCTGTGTATAAGAGACCTGCAAGGTTGTGGACGTACCTCTACCGGCACCGGTGGGACTGGTGGCATATCAACCGTCTTGGGATTCGAGCCAAAATCTCGACAATCTGGGCTGGATTTTTATTCTGCGCATGTCTGTGCCTTTTACTATTAATTGTGCACCTTAGAATCATATTATTGAATTTCCTGCACGCTTCCTCACCAAAAAACTCAACTTGAATTTCGTCAGGACGTACCCTGTTTTTTGCCATAGTTAAGGCTCAAATACCGAAGAAGAAACCTGAAGTCAAATAAGTTTTTTATTTTGTTTTCCGGTACATTGACTTAGTCAAAGAATATTTAAATGAAAAGTGGTGTAGCTTTATATTTCCAATTTTTTGAATTTCAAATTTTAAATTTTAAATTTTAAACCTTTTCCTTCGTTATTTCTATTATATAGAAATGTGAACTCAAGGACGACCAATGGCAAAAGTAATATTAAATCAAATATACAAGGGCAAAATATAACTATTGTATACTAAAGTCGGTTGATATCCGTGCACTCATGCTCATCCCAAGGCTCTATTTTACACTCTAGAAGCATCTTCACCTTTCTCCACTCACTCATCCAATGAAAAAAATAAAAATCTCAGTTGCATCAATCTTCACCAATTTTCAAGACTTGTGGGTTGAGTGTTTCCAGGTAAGCTTAGTCGCATTTTTACTTTTACTGACCATTTCTTTTTTCTTGCTCTTATTAATCAGTTCTTGTAGCATTATCTTTACTTTTCAAATTTTCAAAGATGGCTTCTTTTCACTTTCTTGGATATTACAACCCTAGGTTGGTCCAAAAATTTGAATTGATAAAAAAAAATCAGAACTATATTTGCCTTCTATCTTCTATTTACTTAAAATTATCTCTCTTAGAATATGGATAATTGAGGTTTCTATGTTCTCTTGTGCTTGTGTTTAATGATATAACAGAGCCTTCAGCTTAGTATTGAGACACTCATCTAGCTAAAGCATCACTGCAAAGGCAGTCGCTTTCTTGTGAAATATTCTTGCCAAAGAAGAATACAAAACGATATAAATGATATAGTTTCTATATGGTATTAGTTAGGCTTTAAGTTATGCAAATTAAGAAAAAAGATGTGAGGGCCAATAAAATCCTTTCTCTATTTGCTTACCAAAGTACTATTAATAGTAATACTTAAGCTATGAGTAAGTAGGAATATAATGTGAATATCCCCAAAGAGCAATGCTCTCTGTTTTTCATCATTTTCTCGTGGTAATAAGATGCTTAATATTTTCTCTTTGACTTAGATTATTTATATGCTTAATTGGTAGTGTTCGTATTGGATAGCTGGTGGGCACTGTTCGTAAAGGTGTTCATGATACTTAAGTTCACTTTGTCTAGACATGTGTTTTTGTAACATCTCGCACCTAGAAACGACTAGAAAGAGTTTAAAATCTGAAAATAATCATTTTTGGAAAGCATGTGGAAATCTGGAAATTTTTGTCTAAGTTAAGAATGTGCGTTTTGGTCATTTTCAAACGACCATAACTCCTAGATCAAGATGAGTTAGGAGTAGTTCTTGATATGGTCGGGAAGCCCTTGGGAAGATCTTTCCAACGCCACCGAGTTTGCACGATTTCGACATCGTATGAGTGAGATATGCCTTTCTTGAGTTGGACTGTTGGATTGAGGAAAGTCCCAATCCGAATTTAGGGAAGGGCAAAGTAGTATTTTCTCTAATTAATTTCCTAATTCGTTTTTAGGGATTTATTGGGGTAAAAACATGACTTAGTCAGTTTGGAGAATTGAGAAATACGCTTAGGGCTTGGAGAAGAGAGAAAAGAAGAAAGAAAGGGAGAAAAGCCAAGATTTCGCCAAGAACATCAAGCTTTTGGAGTGGAATTCGTCTGGGGCAATCCCTATTAAGGTATGTGAGATCTTTTAGTGCTGGGTTAGTTCACCCACACACCAACTTGTTTCAATTCAGCAATTTTGGGTTGTTTACATGTTAAAAAGTGAAGTTCTTGAAGGACGTCGTTAAGTTCTGGATTGGTTGTGTTGTTGAAATTTCTTGTTGATTTGATTCATGTTTCCGGGTGGATTTTCTAGTTAGATCTGTTGTAAGTTGAGAGTACTTTTGATCCTAAATATTTGGGGAAAGAACCATGGAAATTAGGAGGGTTTAGAGATGAAAAACGGAGAAGAAAATCGTCAAAGACCTGGGGAAGGGGGTAGGGCATCGCGCCAGCCAGCGCGCCCCAAAAGGGGCTCTGAAGTGCATCCCTTGGGGTGACATGCCAGCCAGCGCCCCCCAGCTGGTCCTCTGAAGTTTTGTCTAGGTATGTACAAAATTAAAGACGAAGGGAAAAATGTTCATAAAAATAGGGAAAAGGGTCTGAAATATATCTGAATTTTGACCGAAATTGATGTGTCCACGTGGGCACATATATACCTTTAAAATACATTATTAAATAGTGCTGGGGTAAAAGGTCCTTCATAAAGTTTAGTATCGTAACAGCAATTTCGGCCAAAGTTATAGTGCTTTTTAGACCCTTTTCTCTAAAAAAAAAAAAAAAAGAGATCATATATTCATCAAAGAAAAATAGACCATATGCTTTTTTAGTTAGAATTTAGAAATATTGAAACTAATAGTGACGACTCCTAAATTAGAGATATGACATGGTAAGATACTTTTGAATTATGTTAAGAGAAAAATTGACCATTTCAGCTTCAGTTCACTTCCATTTACTTCAGATAAACTGTACCTTTTTTCTGCAAATATACAAGAATCTTGAAACAGATTTATCTGAGCTTCATGGCTAAAGCCACAAAAACAGGCCCACAGTTGAAATAAGGTAAATTAATACTTAAAACTAATATTGTCCTAGGGAAATCTTTATAGCTCAGTTAGTTGATTACGGTGAAGGTTTGATGCCTCACCTTGTAAACCTCTTCCCAAACCCCACTAAAAAAAACTGTCAAAGGTTCCACAAGGCCTGTGACAATCCAAATGTGTTCCTCCGATCTTTTTTAGTGTTGGTTTGTGAAGTATTTAGTAAGATAAGAAACTTGACAAGTATACAATGTCTATAAGATGATTCTTGGTACATCAGATGTCTTGCAATTTTTTTATGTGTATATTTTGCTTTTGAATGTTGTATCAGCCAAACGATGCAAATTTGCGATGGAACGGAATATAGCTTGTGAACTTTTTCTGTTGCATTCGTTTTGTGGAATGAGAAATTATAAGTAATCTTACCGGGAGAGTGGACTCCCGGTAAGATTACTTATAATTTCTTTTCTTTAAATTTTAAATTTAAATATTACATCATTACTTAGAATATCTTTTTTATCTTTAAATTTTAAATGCTATTTCATTACTTAGGATTTCTTCCCCCTAATTTGGCTACTTCTTTACTGCAGGTTGTGACTATTTGAATACTTACAATTCAGCCCTTATTATTCTGACTCCGTTCTTATAAGGGCTAATGTGAAACTTTTAGGCACGTACCTGAGTTGATGAGATCCAAGAAATGAGTAACAATTTGTAAAAATATAATATTCCAAGAAGCTTCTTTGAGCTTAAAAATAAAAATTGGTTTGTAATCTTATTCCGAATTCTGATACATATGTTGTAATCTTTCCGACTTTTATGGTTTGAATTGGAATTTTGTTGAACTTGCTTTGTATTGATATACCTTTTACATTGATAAATAAATTGTATTCTCGAGTAGGTTGATGATCTTTTGCAAAACACTTCCATTGTTGATTGTTGGGCCCTTGTATAACACGGGCATAACTATCTAGTTTTGTTAGAAAAAGCCTAAAATAACCTTAAACTAGGAGTGGGCATAAATATCGGAAAATCGAATCGAACCGAACTAATTCGGTTTTTCGGTTTGGTTGTGTTATTTTTTCGGAAGTTTGGTTCTTCGATTCGGTGTTCGGTGTAAGGGTCTCAAAACTTCGGTGCACCGAAGAACCGAACTTATTTTAAAAAAATGAAAATTAAAAAAAAAAAAAATTATATATATATGGGCATTCTCTTAACTAAAAATTAAAAATTCAACTAACAATTAAATCATTCATAAACAAATCAATGTAACAACAAATGTATAATTCAATAGTTAACTTCAAATATTAATTTCCAAGAAAAACCAATTTAAAAACACCAAATTAAACCGAACCAAAGTAGAAAAAACCAAACCGAACCAAATTAGTTTGATTTAATATACGGTGCACACTTTTCGACTCAATATTCAGCTGACTTAGGACGAGTTTAAGTTTCAAATACAATACCAATTATATTCAAGCGTAAAATAGTGTACTTACCAAAATCAAATTTATCTACTGTTCTTTTTGGAGTTCGAAGGATTCCAAATCAGGTTGGAAATCTATTTAAAGTTGAAGGTTCTTGAATCTTTGAATATAATTAATTGTGAAAGTAAATTTGGTTTATGATTTGGCTGTTGATTTGTTGAATAAGATGGAGGAAATATCGAACAAAATCAACGGAACGCCATTTTTGAAGTAGAAGAATTTCACATCTTTCGCAACTCAATTTCAAAATTTGAGAACTTACGTTTGTAGGTTACTAGTGTCAAGATCGTTTGAAAAATCATTTATTATACTTAAATTTAGTTTCACTTACTAATTTGTGTATGTATTTAAAGGAAAAGTAAATTCACCATGGGAGGATTTTACCTTTAAAGAAGCTTGAAGAACACCCTCTATGAGAATTTAGGTGGGGCGGGTATGGGTTTATTTGGTGGATCCAAAATTGCAGAGACGTATCCAGGATTTTGAGATGATGGGTGCACTATTATAAGAAGGTTGATCTATGATATATACTAGATCAGTTCGACGTTTAGATTTTTCCTACTGAAAATACGTTAAAATTTTAAAATTATAGGTCTAAAATTAATTCTAATATATATATATATATATATATGTTGAATTAATTAAAAATGCAACAAGTGCTACCAATTACCACTTAAAGAAGTGTTAATCTAATTTTAAGAAAGAAAAATAAAAATAAAGAATAAAAATAAAATTACAAAATTTCTAACCTCGCGGAGAGAGGTGCACCCAGTCATAATCACAAAATGTAATACTCCGAGTGTGGGTTCACACATTTATATTTCAATATTTTTTAAAATATAACACTACTATATATGATCTCGGGAGGGGATCATGGGTTCACGTGAACCCGGTGACCCCCCCTTAGATACGCCTCTGCAAAATTGGGTCGGAATTTGATTAGTTTAGGTGAATTGTAAGCACACCAATAAAATCATGCCACGTAATAAATGATATATTTAATAATATTTTAAAATGTGGCCGTAAAAAATAAGGGCATTTCAGGGCCAATACGTTGACGTTAAGGGTACTTTAGAGCCGAAAGGTCGACGAAGGGTATTTTTGTACCAAATCCGACAGGGTATTTTATGCCATTTTCCGTTAACTTGTAGCTAAGTGTACGATAAATCAATCGAAGGAAACGAAATCAGAAAAAACCCCAAAATGGGCAGATCATAAGTACAACTCATTACACGTATAATCAATCAAATGGTGAAACACCTGAGTACATTACTTATCATACACAACATTGTTCGTCCTGATCAAGTGATGAATATCCATAGGATAAGCATCAGACGGTAGAAGAGCATTATAAGCTCTGTTAGTCGCGATTCTATTGGCAATCTCTGTTGGATGAAAATTATCATAGAAAAGATAAATCCCTCTAAGAAAGCATGGAGTTTCTCCAGGAACACATTGTCCTTCAGGCATCGTTTCCAAAACGTTACAGCATGGACGAGTAAACACACTAAGGGGACCTGAAGTAAAAATAGCCAAGCCAATTATGTTAAAAAGGCACAAATTAATATGTCATTAGAGAAAAAAACAATGTTTGAGTACCATACCGATGATTGATGAAATGCTGTACATGTTTATATATGTGAACTTTGCGTCTGGAAAATTGGTATTAAGATCATCTACAAGAGACTTTAGCTTGCTGTTAAATTGTTGAATTGCATTATTTGTTGAACTCACACATCTACGTGTATCGTGTTTTTGTAGCTCTGCTGGAATGCAGCCTATTTTGCCTAGTCCAAATAGGGCAACTTTCCTTGCTCCATCTTCATATAAAGTCTAACCACATGATATCAACATTAGCTAGTGTAATTTAAAATTATTGGTAAATAGATTGGAGTTGTAACGTACCCTCAGATGTTGTGAATATTGATCAATCAAGGCAGTGGCATATTGAGTTGGTGTATATAAATGACTTGAGGGATATATTTCAGGCATCAAGTAATTGTTGATGTAGTCATTGCTCCCTATTCCAACTATGAATAGACACTTATTCAAGTGTTTTTTAGCTGAAGTTGTATTCCCCACTAAATTAGCTATACGAGAAATTGTTGCTTGATGATTCTCCAATTGTCTGCCCAAGTAAATCCGATCACCCTGAAAAGACAATTGTATAAGTAAATTCCTTATGTTTTTGCATATATGTAAAAAAAATCAACACTTACAAGATGACTTCCACTGTCATTACGAATTCCAGCTGAACCAGATGCATAATTTACACCTTTCAACATCTCACTATCTTTTACACTTGCATAAGGGGGAATGTAGTGATCAAATCCCAAGTATTCCGCTGCAAATTAAACATGGAGAAAATCAAGTCAATTATATGTATATAACGGTTGTTAATAAGATGAATTTTTTATCTAAATAATCAATCCAGAAAGCTAGGACGATCATTAGGTATGATTTGCCTAAGATCGACTAGCTTTGTATGGAGATTACAACATTCTACTCATTCACAATATGTGATACCTCCATGGTCTCCTGGCTCACTAAACATTGAACATCTGATGTGTGGACAATATAATACGTGGTAATCACCATATTAGGAAAATAAACCTTAGATTTAACTCAACTGATCAAAAGCTAACTCCGAAATGAGAATTGCATGTTCAAGATCATATAATTAAATAGGATTTTCAGAAATAAGCTAATTAATTAAGTAGTTGAGACTTAAGACCTAGGAAGTCAGCCGTGTTACGGCCATTGGTGAAACGGCCGGTCGGACGACCATCCTGGAAGTCCACCCCATAAGGTGGGTAATTAGCCTTTGCCGTTGTGTTAAGGTCATTGTTGTTTCCATTATCAAGTAACGAATCTCCAAATATGAAGTAACATGGTACTTGTGGTGCACCTTCAACAAATGTTTTTAAGTTCAAAACTACAAATATTGTGGCAAATATCTTGCCATAACAAGCCATTTCAGGAGAATGAGAAGAAAAAATGAGTTACTATATTGTACAATTGGACTATATGGAAGAAAAAAAAATTGTAAGTGATTGACAATATGGAAAGTGAAAGAGAAACTATATATAGAAGCAAACAAGGAGTATAATATAATTAAGTTGCTAAAAAGCTATGTTTAGAACAAATCATTCATGCCATCATATAGAAACTCTACAAACAAAAAGAGGAAATTTTCAATTTGTACGTGCTTAGCACCACTTCCAATGAATTTCCACATGATTAAAGAATTTGCGAAAAGCAATCACACGTATGAACATAATAAGCTCGTGCAATTTATATATATATACACACACTCCCTCTATCTCAGTTTATATAACTTACTTTCATTTTTAGTAGAAACACATTTCTATATTAAGTAACAATTTAATTTTAAAATGCATGATTTTTCCTTAATGAAAGTTTATAGCCACACAAATATGTATGATCACTTATTTTAAATCACAAATTATAAAAAAAAAATCTTTTTTTTCTTAAACTTCGTACAAGTCAAACTAACTCAGGTAAGTATATATATAAGCCTATACCAATAAAAGTCAACCCTAGCTATGTTCCCACATGAAAAGTCGTTTCTACGAAGTTGATAACTTGATATTGCAACTTTAGCTTAATTTCTTTTCACTTTAGGCAGAATTTTTATGTTATTACTATAAGCTAATATTCATTGTGATGCATGCAATATTAAAAAACAAAACAAAATCAACCCATCACGCTCTCCCCTATATATATTATTTACTTTCTTAGTCCATTTTTAAATGTCCATTATATTAAAAATAGATGTTCAATTTGAAATACGAAAAAATAATTTATTATTTTATATATATTTTATTTTTATTATTAAATAATATTCATTTCTCATGCATTTTCCAAAATATTAGTATAATAAACTTATCATTTATTAATTACACTTTTTAAGGAATATGTATATCAAGTTAAATATGAACAAGTAAAAATGAACGAAAAGTAATAACTTTTGAAGGATTAAAAGAAGTCGTCTATAATAATTTATTTGTTTTACCATCGACAAGAGTCGACGTCGCAGACAAATAGAATTTATTTGATTCTTTTTGGATGGTATTGATATCGATATAATACAAAATCATTGGTCAAAGCCATGTGTTTGGGATTTTTCTTTATTTGAAATCAAGGAATATTTACTAAATATTTTATAAAAGGGGAAAGGAATCTTGATTTAAACACCACCAACTCTTTGCAAGTTGCAACCCATTAAAAGGTAGCCCTTTTTATAAAATTAAAAAAAAAAAATTGTACATATTTTTAAGTGCTCTTGCTGGTACATTAGAGTTGGAAAATGAAAAATTAATTGGCTAAACTCTTTCAAGAAAGAAACATGTAACAACTCAAATTACCAACACCACAACGATATGTATTATAATCACTGAGAACACAAATTACAACTACGAGCAAATAATATCAGTCGTAAAAGGAAATCGAAAAGACAACAAGGGAGGATGAAGACCAGAAATCACACAAATAGAAGAAGAAGATGAGAGGAACAAACTTTTTTTACAATACGCATGACCCTTTTAACAAACAATGGTGCCTTTTAATCCTTTGACTCTAGCTTAAGAAGGAGAGTATTAATGTAATTGGTAAAATTATTGTCATCAGGTTCGAGCTATTTGTAGACATTCATGGCTTAGGAAATGTAAAATGTAGAGACAATAATTTCCTCATTGAAAAATTGGTATTAAGATCAGCTACAAGAGTCGTAATTTTATATTTTGATGCATGACCCTTTATTATATAATAAGCTACTATTATTATATTCATTGTGATGCATATCAATGTGTCGTATTAAAAAAAAAAAATCAACTCATCGCATACTCTCCTATATTATTTACTTTCTCCATTCATGTTTACTTATTTATTATACTAAAAATAGATTATCAATTTGTAATATCAGTTATAATTTATTAGTAGTATTCATTTTCTTATGTACTTTTCAAAATATTGAATTTATTATAATAAATTTTTCATTTAATTAATTACTTTTAAAGTAAAAAATGAATAGAGTAGCAACTTGGATGGAATAAAAAAACCGCTTGTAATAATCTATTGTGTCAGCATCGACAAGAGTTGACGTCGATTATATGGAAATGCCAACACACGCAGACAAATAGAATTTATTTGATTCTTTTTGGATGGTATTGATATCGATATCATATAAAATCATAGGTCAAAGTCAAAACCATGTGTTTGGGATGTTTCCTTATTAGAAATGAAGGAATATTTAAATATTTTATAAAAGGAGAAAGGAATCTTGATATAGGCACATGGGTGGCAGCCTGTACAGTGTACCAGCAATAATTTAATTACCGTTAAATATGTATTTTTAACAGCCACGCTTTATAAATGCCACTCACTAGCTTATAGCAACATTGGATATAATCCAATTGGAAGACTTCACAGTAGCTGGTTGTCTTTTTCATTACAACTACCCTACAATAACAAATAGAATAATAGTATGTGAGTAAAAACTTCCCCGCGACTCGCGAGCAATGAGAACAATAACAGAATCATATGAAAGTCACCTGAAACAAAACATGTAAGGGATCCTAGTTGGTGGGACTTCAGAGAGTTTGTGCCTGGACAACCTTCATTCCTTGGTAACTTATTGATGACAAGGATCATTTAATTCACACTCATTTTTACCTCTTTTTCATACTTCATGCAGAGGTTCTTGAAATCATCATCCCAGCAATCTTCCAACAGAAAGGAACTTCAGCCGCATGCTCTTCCAGCAGATATGAAAATCTTAGTGATGTCTAGTTGAATTGCCGAGTATATGTAAGCCTTGTATGTGAAAGGAGAACAGAAATGCTTAGAACTAGCAGATCAGAATTTCTGTGACATTATATATGCGTACACACACATACACATATCAACCAAACCTTTCCGTGGTTCTTCCTTGAACCCAGAAATTCAAGTTTAGCAGCATGTCTCAAGATAGACAGCACAAAGCATGTATATGCAGCATACATGGTAAGAAAAAAATTAAAAAGAAGACTTTCACCTCTGCACTTTAGAATTCTAAACAGGCACAGAAACACTCAACATACTCACAATGTCATTCATTTGAACACACAGCAATTCCATTTAATGACATTGATTTGTCGAATACAAAGGAGATTCTAACTTGGCAATACAAAAAGGATCCTACCTTAGCTAGAGGTTCTTTATTTATTTATTTATTTTTGACAACTAGCTAGATAATCTAGTTTTCTTGATATCAAGCGCCAAAAATGTTAGAAGATCCTATTCAAGTACTCATTAGGAGATCAAAGGCTTACCCAGCTCCTTAAAATTAAGGTTGAAACTGAAGCAAGCATTAGATGACAGCAACTTGCTAGTAATAGTGTGCTACAAGTGCAAAACATAGAATAACAGAATAGGCGAATGCATTTGTTTGCACCTAAATATATACTCCTATACTCATCCTCCAAGATTATGACTTGCATTACCCCAGTGAGGAAAGTAACTGGAACCTCAAAACAGACAGATTCCAAGTTGAGATTTACCCAAACCTTTCAGATAAAGCAAGAGTTGTTGGCAGTTGACTTAATGTTGAAAGTAAAGAAATCTTCTTTTGCAATGAAAGGTAGTGGTAGTATTCTATGTTGAATCACCTGCATTATTTAGTCCATGAATCAAGAAAAACATTCATGCTATGATGAAAAAAAACAGATGAGAGGTAAAATCATTTTTTGCTGGAATCAGAAGAATTCATTTGGCAGTAGTAGTTCCGTTCTAAAAGGTTACTTTTTAGTGTGGTAAACTTTTCCTGAAGCCTTGAGAATTCTCCATTTGCAGAACCAATACTTTAGTGATAAAAGAAGTAACCATACCTTAAAGTGCCGATATCCAATACGACTTCCAGAAAAATGAGAAGTTATGCTAGAGAAGTGATTATAAAGTAGCCATAGTATTTACCAGCATATAGAAAGGAAAACATGCTCTCGTGTATAAATAACAATACGTAGTCCTTGCATGTAAAAGACTTACTCATCAGTCCTCTTACTATTCCCTTAACACCATGCTAAGACTACTAGAGGTGGTTACTCATAGATTTTGACCAGGTTTTAGCTTATTCATCATAATCTTCAAGTGTTTTTATTAAGACCATTTCTTTTAGCATTTACATTATAATCTTCAACTGTTTTTACTCATCAGTGTTTTTTGTAATTTTGCTATTTGACCATTAACATCTCTGTTGCTGCGGTATCCAGTTTCCTTAACTAGTTGTTTCAAGGCTCTGCCATTCAAAGTATATAAGTGCCACATGATTAACTTTTCAGATTCGGGTTGTTGCATCCCTGACTGAAAGGAACAGGTCCAGAAAAATTAGCATTACTCAAAAGAAGATAGGAAAAAATAGAAAAACGATACTCTGTTTAAAGATGTAACTGGAAAAATAAATCGGAGCATTCCTTAAGAGAGGAGATGATCTCCGAACAAAAATAATCTCATTTCTCAAGATACACAGAATACGATAATTAGTGATCAATACTTGCTGCTTCATGCAGTTAGCGATAACGAATAGAAATTAGAAGAGCAAAGGAATAAAAAAAAATTCTACTAGTTGCAGTCAAGTTCAAGTGATTGGTTTTGAACCCAAAAATAGGTCGACCCTGAAAAGCTGAGGATTTTTTACTTGTATTTTTAATTAAGGCTCTCCATTTCTCAAAATCTTTCAAATTTACTCCAAGAAATATGTTATAACATAAATTTGCTTATATTTTCACTTCAAAAAGATCTCATTCAAAGATCAATATGAGCAGGGGAGGATGAAGATCAAGAAAGAAACATGTACCAACTCAAATTACCAACACCACAATGATATGTATTATAATACTGAGAACACAAATTACAACTACAAGAAAATAATATCAGTCGTAAAAGGAAATCGAAAAGATAACAGGGGAGGATGAAGACCAGAAATCACACAAATAGAAGAAGAGGATGAGAGGAACAAACTTTCTTTATAATACGCATGACCCTTTTAACAAACAATGGTGCCTTTTAATCCTTTGACTCTAGCTTAAGAAGGAGAGTATTAACGTAATTGGTAAAGTTGTTGTCATTAGGCTCGAGCTGTTTCTAGTCATTCATGGCTTAGGAAATGTAAAATGTAGAGACAATAATTTCCTCATTGAATGTATTATTCCAAGACTAAGAGCTAAATATATTGTAGGTGTACAATTAATAAATCAATCTAAGAAACAAAATCCGAAACTCCCTAAATGGGAAGATCATAAGTAAAACTTATTAAACGTAATCAATCAAATGGTGAAACACATGAACTTTACTCGGCCTCTCTGTTGGATGAAAATTATCATAGAAAAGATAAATTCTTCCTACGCAAGCATGGAGTTTCTCCAGGAACACATTGTCCTTCAGGCATCGTTTCCAAAACTTTACAGCATGGACGATTCAACACATTAATGGGCTCTGAAATAAGACGAGCAAAAATAGCCAATCCAATCATGTTACAAGTCACAAAATGATGTTATTTGAGTACATACCGAGGAATGATGAAATGCTGTATATATTTATAAATGTGAAGTTCGCGTCTGGAAAATTGGTATTAAGATCAGCTACAAGATCCTAGTTGGTTTCTATCTGGGACTTCAAGATCTCAAATCAGAGAGTTTGTGGCTGGACAACCTCATTCCTTGGTCCTGTAACGACAAAAGTAACTTATTGAGATCAATGATGACAAGGATCATTTAATTCACACTAATTTTTACATCTTTTTCATACTTAATGCAGAGGTTCTTGAAATCATCACCCCAGCAGTCTTCCAACAGAAAGGATCTTCAGCCGCATGCTCTTCCAGCAGATACGAAAATTTTAGTGATGTCTAGTTGAATTACAAGATGACTTCCGCTGTCATTGCAAATTCCAGCTGAACCAGATGCATAATTTACACCTTCCAAGATCTGACTACCTTCTGCACTTGCAAAAAGGGGGAATGTAGTGATCAAATCCCAGGAGTTCTGCTGCAAACAAGGAGAAAAATCAAGTCAATCCAGAAAGCTAGGTCATTAGGTAAGTTTGCCCAAGATCGACTAGCTTTATATGGAGAGACAACATTCTCCTCATTCACAATGTGTGAGACAACAATGGTCACCTCACTGAACATCGATCTGGTGTCTGAACAATATAACATGTGACTCAAATGTACGATAACAAAGATATATATATATATCTGGCTCTGATGTATATACACCATGTTAAGAAAATAAACCTTAGATTTAACTCAACTCAAAAGCTCACTATGGAATGAGGAATGCATGTTCAAGATCATATAATTAATTAGGAAACCATCGTCCACTCCCCCAAGTATAAATGTGGAACACTTACCAACCGAATATACTCCACATTTGTTTCTCCTCAAATATTAAGTATCGATCGATCTAGTAAAGAAACACTAAATAGAGAAATCAATATATAGAAATGAGAATTAAGTTTCACATTAAGTATCAAAGCATGCTCCAAATATTCACCAGTATAACAGAAACATGCTGTGTGTTGAGTTTTTCCTTAATGATGTTTAGGGGATATTCTTCTTCTTATGTGAACTACTTGATATTCGAAAGAGAATCATCGTGTCATATTCAATATCAAAATGACTTTGTCAATGATTAAAAGAATAAAAGGCTTCTTCACAGTCACACTCTCAAAACTCTACTGAAGTTAAATTTTTCTTCTGTTTCCAGAATTGAACAACCCTGACATCACATATGCAGTGCAGTCAATAGAAAAGGCAATCAAAAACATGTCATGAGCAGCTATTTCATTTACGTATGCACTATGCAGTAGTCACTTTAAGTATTACTCTCGGGATTACACAATATAAAATTTCTTGCTATAGTGATATCAATTACTCCACTTGATCCGTGATTTTTTCCCTTATTTTAAAATGGTTTCTACATAAAAATTCTGATGTTATCATTTTTCCATTTTATTCTCAGACCGTATATATTTTTGTGTTAATCCACATTTTTCCAACATAAACACCTCTTGATAGGTAGGGGTCAACTGTCAAGTCAAATCTCACACACCAAAAAGGCTCTATACCTTGATGGCTCACTCGACAGTCGATTCTATGGCTAATGAGAGAGACGGGATGAAATGACCAAAAAGGGCCTACTTTTAATGTGTTGTAAAGATAAAAGGTAGGGCATTTTAGGAAATTAAAATATGTGGAGATTGCTATCCTACTAACTTCATGTACTAATCCTGGGAAAGTAGTAGGTTAGCAAGATACAAAAGGGATCGTTTGATTGGTGGAATAAGAATAATAATCTCAGGATATCTCATGAGATTTATTTTATTGTATGTTTGGTAATTAGTAGTATTATTTAGTTTCAATACTTTTTATCCCGCCATTTCAGTACAAATCATATAGAAGGTAGAATACAATAATCTCATGTATCTCATCTCACTGCGACGAAGTTCAAATAATCCCAAAATACATGATCAAATCGGGAGGGTGCTTAGGACTAATAGGTAATGGAATGGTTCTCGGGAGGGTGCTTAGAACTAATAGGTAAAGGAATGGTTCTCTTCATTGCTACACAAGAAATATAGAGTATACATGACATGAAATAGTACAAGATTAGTTAAAGAACAAGGAAAAGGAAAGATGATTTAGTGATTGTTATGCACAAAACTGGAGAAAAAGTTTAAATCATATAACAAATACGGAACATCAAGAAAAAGAAAAGTGTACACAATATATTAGTAGTCTGCACAATATTAGCAACTACTTGGAAGTACCTGATGTCATGTCATTATGTAGTTCAATAACAGGAAGAAAGCTTCTGTTTGATCTTTGCCAATGCTGCTACAACATCAGTCATGTTCATCCTTAGTAACACGTTGCTAGGCTTAAGATCACAGCGAATAACCGGAACTGAGTAACCATGATGGAGAAATTCCAAAGCAGATGCAACGTCGAACACGATATTCAATTTCTGCATTATAGTTAAACAGTAATCTCGAGAATACAGCAACTTGTTTAAGCTCTTGTTTGGCATGTACTCAAGTATCAATGCTTTAAAATCCAAGTTACAACAGCTGCTAATGATTTTGGTGAGATTTCTGTGACGAAGATTTCGAAAGATTTCACATTCTCTGTTAAAGGTTTGAAATGTGCCTTCCATCTGCACATTGAAAACTTTGACAGCTACAGTCATCCCATCTGTTAATGTCCCTTTGTAAACAGAACCATCCACTACCTAGCAAATTATTTACATCAAAGCCCTGAGTTGCTCTTTGAAGTTCATAGTAAGAAATTCATTGTGGTGATACCTCAGGTGACCACTCCTCTTCAGCATTGATTGTTTTACCTCGGCGTCTCATCAACACGAAAACTATTACTGAGGCAGTCCCTATCACAGAGATAACAGAAGACGCAACTATAATCCATATCAGTCTTCTTTTCTTGGACTTACGACTGATTCTTTGAATTAGAAGGACAAGCCGGGACATGCTTTTGAGGGTTACCACACAATCCTTCATTCGACATAAAAGATTGGTAAGAGAGATTAATATAAGGTCTTCCAAACGAAATTTCCCCGTGTAACCTGTTGAATGAGACATTAAAGAAGACTAGCTTCTTAAGTGCCTCTAATGACTTTGGAATCACACCAGACATATTGCTATACAAAAGATCCAATGTGTTTAACTCTATCAGTTCCCCAAATGTCTCAGGAATAGATCCTTGACAACTGTTATGAGCCAGAGATAGTTAAATCAATTTAGTCCTCCCAAGTGAAAGAACCACTTATTCTGTTTCTACCAAGTGAAAGCCTCTGAAGATTTTTCAAAGAAATTATCGTTGTCGGGACAGTTCCAGTAAAGTCATTACTATCCAGAACCAAAGTAGATAAATTTCTCAAATTTCCAAGTTAAAACTCCGTAGAAAAATGGTAAACACATACCTTGTAAGTTGTTTTCTGATAGATGTAATTCTTCCAGCAGCTGTAAGTTACCTAGTTCTCAAAGTTATTTTCCATAGGAGTTGGACGTTCCGAGCAATTAGATATAGTTCTTGGTATCCATCCACTTAACACATTGGAGTCAAGTCCAAGAGCTTGCAATCTGGGAACGTGATGACATAAATCAGAAGGGATATCACCAGTTAAACCAGCATTTCCAAGATCCAAATATTCTAGTGTTAAGATGCTCAATATGGAAAGCACGTTGGAGCCATTAAGTGATTCATCGAATCCAAAACTCAACCCTTTCAAACGCGGAAGAGTAGCTAGTCCTATTGGAATTTCTCCAGTGAAGTTGTTGTAACTAAGATCAACCTCTCCCAATCTTCGTAAATTCTGATGGAAGTTCACCATGGAAATTGTTGAGGCTTAGATCAATCGACACAAGAAAGGAAAGATCACCAAAAGCATGCTCCAAATATTCACCAGTATAACAGAAACATGCTGTGTGTTGACTTTTTTCATAATGATGTTTGGGGGATATTCTTCTTCTTATGTAGACTACTTCATATTTGAAAGAGAATCATCATGTCACATTCTATATCAAATGACTTTGTCAATGATTAAAAGAATAAAAGGCTTCTTCACAGTCACAACTCTCAAAACTCTACTGAAGTTGAAATTTTCGGATGTTTCCAGAATTGAACAACCATAACATGACATATGCAGTCAATATAAAAGGCAATCAAAAACATGTCATGAGCAGTTATAGCAAACATTATTGTACACAAGCAGAAGCCAAGTAAATGTTATAATTTTGAACAGATGTTAGGATAAAAGGACATTTTGAAAGAAAAAGAAGTGGATATGCTGACAAGAGAAAAACTCTACACAATGGGAATATGTACGCGCAAGCACACCTACAAGAAAGAGAGTGAGAGAGTATGTGAGACAGAGAACCACAACTATTACAGGTTTTATATGGTTCATATTTATGAAGGATCTGACTTCTGAAAGACAATTAACCCTCCTCCTTTTTCCGGGCTTGGGACCGGCTGCGAATTAGAAGAATCCAAACACAGGCGGAGTTAAAAACAATGTTTTTCTTTCTCTAGGTAGGATCAGCATGACGTGCCATCACTTTTGATCATGGACAAGTCACCTTACCACTAAGTCACACTAAGTCACCTTGAAGAGTTGAATTAAAGATTGAAGAATTTGAAACAAGCCTTCATATTTTGGTTTGCGAAGACGAACTGAATCAGTGATAGCTCCTTGAAAACTTTTCAGAATCTCAGATATTCCAAAGAAGGGCACTGGTTCAGACCTAATCAACTGAAATGTAGCTAGTTTTCTATCTTCGGAATGTGTGAGGGGAAAAAGAGGATCAAGTCCAATGAAAGAGCACCGCTCAAGTATAAAATATGACATGAATTAGGTATCACCTACCCCAGCTGCGATTGAAGAATGGATATTTTGAAAAAGTCTTTCAAAGACCTCCGTCGTCGACCTTCAGTAGAAGCAACCAAGTTGTTGGTAGTAGAAATATGGTCCTCAAGTAATTAGAGATACCAGTGAGAATCTAACTGGCTCACCCACTAGCACCTGGGAACTGCAATCTATGGGTGCAGAAAAATACATGGTGTATTTTCCTAGTTTAGCCCGTCAGCAATGCATGTAAGAAAGTTGCCTTATTCGTTTTTGGTTAGACCGTAGTCTCATGCAGATGGCTGTTTCAGCATGCATCCCTTTCGGACCAAAACAAGGACTCACCCTATTTCAGTCTAGTGAGGGTCCAAAAGACTAACTCACGTACACCCATTCTCAGCAATGGCGAGAGGAGCCTTCACCTGCCCTTGTTATTGCTTTCATTGTCCCTCGCCAATTTCTTGATCCATATTATCAACTAGATATCCATACAAGGCACCAAACTTCCAATCTAAAACAAAAGCCTTCTTCAGACTGTAGCGGGCATATAAAGCAGGGCAGATTCCACTTCACCCATGTCAACAAATATGACAATCGCAGCACTTAACCATCACATAGACTTGGGGTTCAAAAGGTGCAGTGTGTGTGCAATTAATCGCCAATAGATGACCAGCATATACAAAAAATGGAGCTCAGGCCTGAACACACTGCACTTGAATAGAATTTGTACTGAGATTTAAAAAATTAAAACAAAAGATGGCATTAGAAAAGAAAAGATTCATCTTTTTTTCAACGTTGGCTTTTAAAAAAAGACTTGCCACAGTATCTCCCATTAATTCAATCATTCAAGATAGACCTATGTGACTTATCTTCCAACCTAGACGAAAGCTTAAAACAAATTGTGTCATATCTCTCACATTATCATTCTAGCCACGGCACAATCACGCCAGCAAGCTGACTCTTAAGGTTTTAAGCCTAAGAAGTGGATCCTTCTAAACCCATACAAAAACAGCCTCGAGTATAATCAAACGTAGTCACATTATAGTCCATCACCACTAAACAAAAAATAAGTTGTGTCATCTCTCACATATATGATTCTAGCCACCACACAATTACACCATCAAGCCGACTCTACAAGTTTCAAGAAAACTAACAATCTCTCAATAGAATCCTAAGAGTACGTCATATCTCTCACATTATAATTCTAGCCACGGCACAATCACACTATCAAACTAACTCTTCAAGTTTCAAGCCTAAAAAGTAGATCCTTCTAAGACCATACAAAAACAGCCTCTAGTTTAATCAAACGTAGTCACATTACAGTCCATCACCACTACACACATGTCATCTCTAACATTTATGATTCTAGACACCACACGATTACACCATCAAGCGGACTCTACAAGTTTCAAGAAAACTATCAATCTCTCTCTAGAATCCTAAGAGTATGTCATATCTCTCACATTATCATTATAGCCACCGCGTAATCACCCTATCAAGCTGACTCTTCAAGTTTCAAGCCTAAGAAGTGGATCCTTCTAACCCCATACAAAAACAGGCTCTAGTTTGATCAAACATAGTCACATTACAGTCCATCACCACTAAA